GAGAGCGAGCGAGAGCGAGCGAGAGAGAGCGAGAGAGAGCGAGAGCATTCTCTCTCTGTCATATTAGTACTGTGTGTTCAGTAACCTCACAGCAGTTGGTACGAATGAATTTATATATCTGTCTGTTCTTGCTTTTTTGGAAATGTATCGTTTACTGCGGGTCGATAGTTGAAATTCCGATATCAGTGAGTGGCTATTTGGTATCACTTTCTCTGGTGGCAATATGGGAAGGCAACACATCATAGAAATAAACAAGTTGATCAGAAAGGCATCAAGAACAATCGGTATAGAGACCTAAGTAACTTTGAATAGAGGTTTACTTTTAGAAAATTTGAATTGCACCATTTAAAAAACATACATAAACGAATTGTGGTGTTTGTTTATCTCGCAAACATGACAAGTAATACGATGAGTGTGTGTACCTGTAGTGTACCTTGTTGTGTAAGTGTATCCCCCGATGATTTTTTATTTTTTATTTATTTGTTGTTGTTTTAGTAGTTCCCTACTAGATAAAAATAACATTTCTAAACCCGAAAGCTACTGATTTGAGTATTTTTCTTTCGATATCATGACAAGTAATGTACATGACATGCGTACCAATTGACGGGAAATTCTCTGGAATACTGGATTGAAAATGGCGCCTATCTTACAGTTCGTGCTAAAATGTTCTCTTAATGTCAGTATATCAAATAACAGAATACCAGTGAAATTAAAAGATCACTCAAAAGCAAGTAAAAGACTCGGGCCAGGCCATATAAATATTAGTATGCATTGACAAAACGGCCCTGAACGAGATTGCCAGTGTCCTAATTAGGCCTGTCTTAGTTTGTTAAACAATGTAGATTGATTCATGATGTTTACAGCCCAGGTTGGCCGTGAGAAGCAGTGTCATACCATAAGTGGTCTTAATCAGTGTATGCCTATAGTAAGCTGTTAATATTCAGTTTCCAACTTTTCTCCCCATTAGAAACCGCAAGAAAAAACCCCTCGGCCAAAATGAAACGAAATAAAAATCTGTCATAAAATTTTGTGTGCCTACAACTATCATGTCTGTACAAAGTACCAAACACCCATTTGCTGCCGGGTGAACTAATTTTAGAAACAAAGAGTTTCTCATACAAGGATATAGCGTCCTACCTCAGACTCAGATTTTTCACCATTCCATTTTCGTGGCTTACTTTCGCTACACAATGACCCTCCTCCCAACACACACTCCCACCCCTCATAAAAGTTCTCAAGAAGGATCCCGTCTTCAATAGTTTAAAACACACAAATGTAATTAAAAGAAAACCCCCCAGATCAAAACAATCACTATGTTTTAATTTTTATTTTGTATGTAGATCTACTTTTATTTTCACTTATTGCAAAGTTAATGGGTTTATGACACGATTTTCATTACTGAACAAATCCAACAAAATGAATCCATGGTCTTCTAAGAGCTTCCAAATTATAAAAAAAACAACAATCAACCAAACAACTTTTAACAGAAGTAATTAAAAAATAGATGTCAGATTACTCAAAGTAACTGCGCCGCCAACAATATGCAAAGTCTAGTGATATAAACAGAGTAGGACATTGCTGCAAATCTGATCAATAAAGGGCTCTAAGGGCTCTAAGGGCACTGATCAGGACAACAGTATCACATAAAACGACACCGAACGCCCAGCACAACTACCCGCTCCATGTCAAAGTATAATCGATGCTTTCAAGTAAGGTAGCTCATCAAAGAAAAGGGAGGGGGGGGGGGGGCACGGGGTATAGGACAATAACAACTTCACTTCATGAGATGTAGTCAATATATCCAGTATGCGCCTTTACCGTCCGCCCTATCTAGATTATAGTTTGAGCTAGAGTCGTTATCAATGCGTTGTTTGTAAGCAGATTCTTCGTGCCTCCCGCCTCCCCCTCACTCACACACACACACACACACACACACACACACACACACACACACACACACACACACACACACACACACACACACACACACACACACACACAAATACACACACACACACACACACACACACACACACACACACACACACACACACACACACACACACACACTTGAGCTCTTAACCACACCCACAAGCTTGGAATTGACAGCTAAATGTATCGTTTTCTGACTACAACATTACTTCATCATTATCCTTCCATGAAACCTGAGTGGGTGAGGGTTGCAATTTTCCAAAATGCATAAGAGATATATAAACCTACCTATAAATACTTTTGACGAAAATATGCATTGTTAAAAAGAAACATGTTCCCTAATTTCCACAACATTTTTGCAAGTTGATACTACAGAAGCTATGCTACAATAGTTCAGTCTCCGACAAAAACCTGGCAATTCCAGCACTCTGATTTCTTCCTTTCGGTACGACATGATCGGCTTTATCTGGACTAAGTTCGTAGTTCTCCAGCTGATCCAGGGTCACTCCAAAAACATCGACATCGGTATCCAGGCTGCCCGTAGACTTCAACGTATCCTCAAGTCTTACCTTTGTGAGATTCAGCGATGTCTCTTGTATCGTTATATCGTCTTCCTTTTCGAAGATGAAATTGTCTGCTTCGTCGTCCAGTGGAGATTCCGAACTGGATGCCGGATAACTAATTCCGGTTTCGAGTGATGGAAGCAATTGCATCCCTCTTTCACCATCGATGGTGTCACTTTGAGTTCGATCTACGGGAGACTGGTCATGTGCTGCTTGGTTTTGTATCACTGTGGATTTTTCAACATTTTCTGACAGACAATCAACCGTAGCATCCTGATTTGACTTCAACCTTTGTGAACTTTGATGGCGGTGTGTTCTTTCAGCATCAGGCAGCTGGAATAAATCAAGTTCACGATTTTCCATTGCGTATGACTTTCCTATGGTATCCAGCTTAGTTTGCAAACTGTCCAGTCGCGAATGAATCATTGCGATATGGAACTGGGCTTTAGAACGAGCTTCGCCTCTCGGACGAATTCTTCTCTTCGTAGCAGGCTTTGAGTTAACTTCGATTTGCGTTGTGGCTGGGGTCTCACTTTTGGAAGCATTGTGAGAAACTGAAAGAAGAAAAACAAAACAAAACAAAATAAAAACCCATCCACTTTGAAGAAACATTCTTAATTGAGACACTTATTTTAGTGCTGCTTTGCATGCAAGTAAGATATAGTTTTTCTGTTTGAGACATGCGTCATTAGCTGGTGACATGACGTGACACGAAGCGATTTCAATTCACTAAAGTAGCATTCTTCATTTGTCATGTAAACGGCAATGTCTACTTTTTATCTAAAGACAGTCGGAAAACGGAAACGTGGCAGTTCTGCTCAAACATTTTACTTCTTTTAGACAGGGAAGTATTATTTATTGAACATTAAATAAATTATTATTTTCCAAGTCTGTGTACAAAGTATCTTAAGTATGCGTATTATGGTTATATAAAAATGGTGAAATGGTATAGATCGAGGTTTAACGCTCCTATCAACACTATTAGGTTATTTAAGAGGTTAAGAGGCAGGACCCCCCCCTCCCGAGTTAACTGTCCATCTCCAAAAGGATCGAGCCAAATGGGAAAATCGTGTAAAGTGCCTTTCCCAAGGACACAATGTCGGACCAAGCTGAGGTTCGAACCCCTGAATGGTAGTATGAAACATTTTTTAAATGTAACATCTCCAATTTTATAGCAAATGAAATAAAGCGTGGCGATTTGCTTGATTGAGTAGATGTTTTACGGCACTATCGACACAATATAAATAAAGCTTGGCGTCAGAGTATCTTTTTAAAAAAACTCTTTAGCTGAAAGCAACATTCGTGCGTGAGTTCAAGAAAGCAACATTTTAGTTCCCTGAAAGACAAACAGTATTAAAGTACTTTAGACAGTCATCCACCCCTGGCACAAGACAATTTACAGCCGAACGTGTGAATCTAATCACTGAACTGGAGCTGAGATCTTGAAGGGGGTGAATCACTTGTTTTACAAACAGACACCACCTCCCTTCTGTGCCATAATAAATAAACAAAAACCCACACTCTCACAAATACATCATGTATGCACTCAAACTCACGCATGCCCCCCCCCCCCGTCCCCTTTTCTCCTAACTCGCAGACTCACAAATACACCTGTGCTCACAAAACACACAAACGCATATACTGCCAAACTCAAAACACTTACCCCATTCACCCACGAACGCACGAACGCACGAGCACGCACACACATACACATACACATACTCACACACGCATACACATACACATACGCACACATACACGCATACACACACGCATACACATACGCACGCACGCACACACACACACACACACACACACACACACACACACACACACACACACACACACACACACACACGTAACATTTCCTGTAGTCAAAATTATACAAACCACCTCTGATTTTTCTCGCCGCGCCGCAGAATTTCTTAAATGGGGTGAAGGTCCACAGAAAGCCCCTTGCCCTGGCAACGATGTAGTCCATAAGCTCGTAGTCATTTGGTTGTTTACTGACGTCATCCCGCACCTCGGAGAAGGCGTCCATGAGAATGGTAACAAGCATGTTGATGAGGATGAAGACGATGAACGTCATGTAGAGGAAGAGGAACAAAGGCGCAAACACTCGATTCACGTGGCTCAGAGCCTGGGTCAGAGAATGTTTTTGTTTTTAGTAAGTTTAAAGGCATTTGTAATACATTAAGTCAAATAAGTACCGAAGATTACGCACAGATATTATCAAACACAAAAAGGAGATATAAGGACGATAGATGTCTTGTACGAAAAAAAAGGAGCAAACCATTCCAAACTACCCTCCTATCACCCACAAATGTTATGTTAGCTTCCAGTATAAAGAAGGACGTCAATACAACAGCGGCCACTAAATGCAGAGAAAGAGCAAACTAAACATACAAACACAATAGAGGGGGTGGAAAGTAGAAGGGTCAACCAGTGGTCTCCGTCAATAACATCCAGGAGAAAATAACGTGCTATACTCTCCAGGTTAGAGTTAATGATTGATTGAGTAGATGTTTTACGGCACTATAGACACAATTTTGGTCATTTGAGCGCCAACAGGTTAGTTAGAGTGAAAGTTTCCCCTCTCGCTTTCATTTTTTTCGTACATTGGTTAATTTCAATTTAAGGTAGTTTACTCAACTCAGTTGCTAGTGATTGTAGCCTGAGGAAGGATCAAAAGTAGACAGACAATAACATATGAATATATTACGTTGAATATGGTATCACTAAAGTACTTATGAACACAGGGGAGTGTATTTTCCTCCATGAAAAGAGAATGCACTTCTGACTGTGTAATTAGAGTTAACTACCATACTCCTGTATATATTAGAACCAAATTGTTTGTGTTTTTACGTCCCGTTAACACAATTTAAACTATTTAGGAGGCAGGCTTCGAGCGTGACTGTCAGAGTCAACCCAAGCTGAGAAGAATACAACACCCCAGCAGGAAGACCGGGATACTCGATACAAATCCTCCTGACATGGGTATCGAACTCAGGTCTCCTGCGAGGAAAGGCAAAGCGCCTTACCACTACACAGCAGGCGTAGTCCTACCACCACTATTCCTTAGAGAATTGTTCAGGTTCGATCAAGGGAGCCTGAAATAATTATGGTCTAATCTGTAGAAACGAGGCTTTAAGATGAACGTACGTTCTTATTCACTTACATCGTAGTCAAAATCCCCAAGGGCCACGACAAATAGTGATTCGATAGAAGCGACCACACTGCGGAACGGAGCCAAAACCCGGCCAAACGTGGTGTAACTGAGGAAGGAATAACACAAAAAGTTTTGTTTTTGGTCAGGTCTGGGAATACCTCTGCCACCCGCTTCGCTCCATCTAACATACAGAGAAAGATGAGACTGAGAGAGAGATAGTTAGAGAGAGTGAGAGACATAGAGAGGGTGAGAGACATAGAGAGGGTGAGAGAGACAATAAAAGAGATAGATAGGGTGAGAGAGAGAGGGAGAGAGGGAGAGAGAGGGAGGGAGAGGGAGAGAGAGAGAGAGAGAGAGACAGAGAGAGAGAGAGAGACAGAGAGAGAGACAGAGAGAGAGAGAGAGAGAGAGAGAGCCTTATAAGTTCAGCTAGCCTACTTCAAAGTGAAGGAGGAAGTGAACTGGCTAATAACAAGTAGGAGCGTTTTCAAAAGGCATCTGTTTTCACAAAAGCTTTATGTATTTTATTTTCAAGCAACGTGTGACATAAAATAAATTGAACAATTTTTTTCACACCCCGCAAGCATGGGTTAAAAAGTCTTTCTCTTTTAGTTCTTGTGAGAGGAGACCCAAGTGGAGTCTATTTCAGCAAATTTCGTTTTGTTTCTAAATTAAAAATATATTCTCTGTAAACCAGGTAGAGCTACTCGTATTTGTCCAGCCATTTAGCTTTTATAAATTATTCGATATATTTATGTTTGTTTAGTATAGGGTTTTACGGCGCTCGCAACTGCATAAGGTCATATGAGCGCGCGGGGCACACCTAATACCTTTTCGTTGGTAGGAAATTTTGAATTTTGCCCGGGTGGCGGCCGAAGCCTACTCTTATCGATTTTAGACCACCAAGGGATCTTTAACGTGCGCAACTTGCACACGGGCCCTCCGAGATTTTTCGCCCTTGTCCGAGAAGGCTAGGTGTAGATCTTTTCTACCAGAAGATCAGGGGTGTGGCAGAAAGACAGCAGTTAGGAGGAGCCAAGGGGTAGCAGTAGAAAGGCTGCAGAAAGTGTCAGGAGCCCAGAGGAGGGGGCAAAGGAGGTGAGGGGGTGGGGGCAGAAAGTGGAAATGAAAGCAGACAACAGAACATTGTTAGAGATCAGGAAAGGATGTGAAAGGAGACAATTTTAGAGAAGAAAATTGTTTGGTCGCTACCCGGAATCGAACCCGGGACCTTTGAATGAGAGGCCAACACCTTAACCTCAAGGCCACGAGAGCCCCCCGATATATTTAGAACCCCCCCCCCCCCCACAAAACAGCAACAACAACAAACCAATAAGACTTCACATATCCCACTATCCATTAGTGTCTGACCTGAAAGAAACGAAGGCGAGGAAAACCACGAAGAACACGAGAGCAAACCCAGAGAGGTCACTGGCCGCAGTCTTCAACGTTGATCCCAGGACAGCCATACGGCGGTTGAACCGCAACAAATGCAAAACCTGTGAAAAGACAAAACTCAATTTTCCACTTTCCACGGGTTTACAGCCCACTAGAGCAGTTTTGCTGTCAAAATTAGAACCAATTATAACCTTTGCTTCAAAATGGAGAGCAGCACTCGGCGGCACACGCTTTTATCTATAAAGTAAAGCCTATTTTTTCTGACGCATCTCATGTGTGTTCATATATATATATAACATATACTATGACACCATGTTACGTATATCAAATATGTATATCATTGCTTTTGCAGTCCTCTACAATTAAACACGCAGTAAATAGGAAAATCTCAAGCCATTTTGAGTTTCTTGCAGTTTTTGGACAATTGTTCTTAGGATATCTCATAAATGACCTCACAGTGTTGGAATTGCCCCCCCCCACTCCTTTTACACACAATAAATCAAAAGATAAAAAACACTCACCTGCAAAGTGGAAAGGAAGCATACAAAGGATATTAGGTATCCGAATAACTCATCCCATAAAGCCAGGGTCTGGAAGTTGTAGAAATCGCCTTTGTTGTAGATAAAAAGAGATAAAAAACAAACAAACCACACTTCAGTTATCTCTTCTGAGACCCTGTACGCTTCTCAAGTCTCTCTCACATTATGACTCTATTCGCCCTTACCTTTCAGACAAGTTGTTATCGTTTTTTAAACTCATTTAATTCATATTTTAATTCATTTACCACTAGCACGTGAACGCATACACAGCATTCTAACCTTTTATGTGTAGATCTATTTCTGATAATTTCACAGTTTATAGAGATATTTATTTAATTACAAAATCTTTCATATTCATTCACATATCTTTCAGACACTTTTCAGAACTATATTTTTTACATAAAACATGACCCCTTACATTTTAGAGCTTCCTACCCTCCTCTTCACCCAAATTACATAAAAGACCCATCCCTGGCATGTTTTGTACACATATTTGGTACCTCTTGAACGTATCCCTCCAACCTTTCCCCCACACCACTTCCTCCACCCATCAGTTATAGAAATGAACTCCCTTACCTTTGAGCCCAATCTTTCTTACGGTCTCTACCATCTTTTCCGTGACAATATGCCGGCCAACATAGAGCACAATAGCTGTCACTGACGTCAACAAGTTCACAAACTCCAAAATATTCCAGATCTGTTTGAAGTATTTCAGACGCTCAGATATAATCTTGTCCACTTGTCTGATGCCAAACCAGGCCAAAGCCATGTACACAAGCATGTCACACACGATTTTGGCTGCAGGGTAACCGCCAAGATAAGAAAATAGTCTGTTGAGCAAGTCAAACCAAGAACAGTTTTTGGTGTCTTCTTTTCGTTTGCTTTATACTTGTATATCAACACGGTGCAAGGTATGTCAACGGTGTTATTTGCACGTCTGTTATGTAATGTAATGAAAGGTGAGTGTAAAAACTTCTTTGCTTATTTCGTTTTAGGTGTAATTGTTACAATTTTGTACAGACTGACCGTAGCTTGGGATTTATTCTCTGCAGAGTAGAGGTATTGCTCACTGGAGGCAGTTTTTTTTTTTTAGATTCTTGAACTACGAAACTGATTTCATTACGTAAAAAGAACTATAATGTATTTTAGTGTAAAAAGGCTAATTCCCAGTATAAGGATACTTTTAGTTCGTTGAGGGGAAACTAAAATTATCATCATGATTTCAATACATACATATTAATCGAACAGTAACGTTTAATTGAACAAGTAGCGACCTGAAAGGGTGTAGATACAGCTTGCCCTTGATGACCTTAGCTTCCTGAAACTCGAAGAGTGCAGTGACCATGGCGAACAGGTTAGCGTTCTGAGAGTACAGCGTAAGTTCTATGACGACCATTCGAGAACGCTCGTCCACCCAAGACTGAGATCTGGGGGAAAAGGGTAAAAACTAAGAAAGCAATACATTCCGTGCTAGTATTAACAAACGGTTTTCATGTCACTTTCAACCCCATATAGACTCAAAAGGGAGCTCAGTTGAGGCATCTATAGGCAAAAATAGAGGAGCTTAACAAAACAACTCCCACTCCAAACATCAGGTACAGATATGGAATATGGTAGGAGTCACTCAGCTATATCAGGTAGCTAAATTATGGTACCCGGTAACGGTTCCTTTCCTTTCCTCCACCCACCTTTTCCCTCTCTTCTTTCAAGGCTATTTTTTAGGTACAAAAATCAGATTTGGCAAAACAGGAACAAAAAGTCTAGCCTCTTTACTCCCAGACCCTGTAAAGAAACTAGTATATCTGCTTACTTGAGCTTTTTGACTAGGGCCTCTGTTTTTTTACGGTCTTTGTTCAGTTTGACCAAGTAACCCCCTGGCGGGTAAACGCCGAGCTCTCCATTGATGGGCACTCCGCCTACCACCCACCAGCCTTGGTATTCCCACGGAGATCTGTGGGGAAACACCACAGTGCCTGTTTGAAGGAGAAGTGGAAGATGGACGCAAACACTCGAAAACCAAATATTATGTACTTTGTGGAGTACATGTATTTCTTATGTCTGGAAACAAAGCAGAAATCAATCAACCCCCCCCCCCACCTCTTTCTCGATCCCTCTCCTTTCTCTCCCCCTTTCTCTCTTTCTATCAATCTCTTTCTATCTCTTTTCTTCTAACCCTCTCTTTCTATCTCTCTATCTTACTCTTTCTACCTCACTCTTTTCTCCCCTCTCCCCCCTCCGCCCTTCCCTCTCTCACTCCCTGTTTGTGCATGCGGGCGTGCGTTTGTTGATAACAGTGAATTTATTACTTCAAATCTACGTTGCCTCTTGATGAATAACGTTTGTTTACTTTTTTCTATGAACCACTCTGGCTTCTTTTTGAGGTTTTGGATTCCACATGGGGTCGTAATCGTTCCAGTCCCGATGCGAGGATGACCATCCCAACACGCATCTAACGTTCATTTTGGCCATTTTGGGGTGCGTACATGAATCTAGAGGTAAGAAAAAGAGACGAAATAGAATGTCAAAAAAAGTTAATTGGCTATCTTCTTCACAATATCACGAGTTATCTTGCTGTAATTAAGCATAATTAACAAGAGGTGGATTATGTTTTTTAAAAAATAAATAAAAGGTTTTTAACACACCAACCAACACAATTTAGATCGACCTCGCTTGTCAGGGTCACCTCGGGCTCAGAGGGATACAATACCCCGGCTGTCGGACGGAGATACTCGATAAAAATCCCCCCTCCCCCGCCTACGTGGGAATCGCGCCAGCAGACAACCCAGATCCGTCCAGTCGAGCCTGTAAGGAGGAGGACGAAACTATGGATAATGTGTTCCTGAGATGTCCCGCCAACTATTGTGCCACAACCCGTCTGCTGGGACGTTTCAGCACTTTTTAAGGACCCCCGGGCAAGTGTTGAGTTCCTGCGTGCTGTCGGCATCGCCAGCGCCAGAAGAAAGAGAGAGAGAGAGAGAGAGAGAGAGAGAGAGAGAGAGAGAGAGAGAGACGTGGGAATCGAACTCAGGTTTTCTGTGTGCGACTCTAAAGGGCCTAACCGTTACCTCACACACGCCAATGGACTACACGTGTTTAAAACCAAATAATATTTAGGTACACCATTCAATAGTTCTATTACAAACACTTGAAATGCAGGCAAGGATTCCTTGGACTATTCGCACGTACACACTCAAGAGGAATAAGATCCATTCCCATATACATACAATACCTACGCATACCATGCATTACTAACAATAAACCATCACATAACATTATTATGACAACGTCCACAGTTCTATTTAACTGAATGAGGTCAACAGAAAAAAAGTGAAAAAACCCAAAGGAGCCCATAATGATGGAAAGTATAATCTAACTAAAATATTGTTATCCATGTCGGGGGGATACAACTACAACCTGACTTTTCGAAGACACGAGTACGGAAGAGCTGTCACAAATGAGATTACAGTGGGAGTAAGCAATACGAAAACGAATAATAGCCATTGATCAATTGGTTTGTTTTTTTTTTTTTTTTTTTTTGGGGGGGGGGGGGGGAGGGGGGGTAGAACAGGGACTTGTGACTTATTTGTCAGAATAGTCAAGCAAACAAACAAACCTGAAATTCAAAGAAATTGGCAGCAAGCGTACCGTTCCTAGCTCTATGTTGCCTTATTCTGACGGGCCCCAGTTTGTATGACGCCATTGTAGAGACAAGTGCAGTCTTCGGGGACATCTTCTGACCACTCCAGTCGCGTTGTGGGTAGAGGAACGGAATGAGGGTCTGTTCCATCCATTGCCACATGTCTTCGGGGACGGTAACCTGGAAATGAGGAGAAACTCATTTTCTAGAATGATTTCCTCAATTTATACTTTTCTTCGATATGCTAGTTGATTTTTTTTGGACATCATTAACAATAATCTTGCCACGATGCAGGCTAGGCCAAAAGCAAAACTGAACCAGAAATAGAACATCAGGCCACATTACGTACTCATCAAATACCGTATGTGTCGCAACGTTTCGAAACGAAACTTGCAAGTAAAGAATTTATACACATAGTCGTAAAAGTAATCTTGAGCCTTCTTTTTGGATCTAACTAGACCAACAACGAACTTTTCGGGTCTCCTTTTCTTCTTAAAACCACAGATTGGGGGGCACTCATGGCCTAGAGGTTAAGATGTTTGCCATTCAAAGGTCCGAGGTTCGAATCCGGGTAGCGACTTGAAAGTTTTCTCTAAAATTGTCTCCTTTCACTTTCTTTCCTTCTCTCTTGCAATATTCTGTCGTCTGCTTTCGTCTCCACTTTCTTCCCTCACTCCCTCACATATTTGCCCCCTGAACTCTTCCTGCAGCCTGTCTACTGCTTCTCCTTGGCACCTTCTTACTGCTGTCTTTCAGCCGCACCCCTGATCTTCTGGTTGGAATTATCTACACATAAACTTCTCGCACAAGAGCGAAAAATCTCGGAGGTCCCGTGCGCAAGTTACGCTCGTTAAAGATCCCTTGGAGGTAAAAAAAAATCGATGAGAGTAGGCTTCGGCAGCCACCCGGGCAAAATTCAAAATTTGCTACCAATTAAAAATGTTTGGTGTGTCCGCACGCTCATATATTAGCTTACGCAGTTACGAGCGCCGTAAAACGCTTACCCCCCCCCCCCAAAAAAAAAAAAAAATAAAAAAATAAAAATAAAAAATAAAAAAAATAAAATAATAATAATAATAAAAAAAAATAATAATAAATAAATAAATTTAAACAAATAAAGCAACAGATTGCCGTGATGTCATGTGCGAAATATTTTTAACTATTTCAAGTTTTGAAAAAAAAAAGCGGGATGAGGGGTTAAATGGACATTTCCCTGATATTGATACCAACCTTCATGACTCGATCTCCTTGGAGGGCGGTGAGGGTTCCCTGTCTGTACCCAAATGCCCTCTGGTCACGGCTGTTGATGGCTGTGAGCAGGAGTAACAGCAAATACACGACATAGAACAGCACCTTGGGAGTGAATGTGAAACGACTCAGACATTGTAAATGACGTGGGGGAAAACGGGTAGGTAGAAAACAGGGGGAGAAATAATGTTATGATCCATGTATTATACGTTTATATTCATCTCCAGGGCTCACCACCCGCCACCGAGTCCAGTAAGGGGACACCGCTCGGAAGTCCAGAGCTGGTGTCAGGGCTAGCCTGGAGGTATACTCCCAATCTGACGGCAATAAATCTCGCCTTCCAACCAAGATTGGCCAAGAAACCGGTTCAATCAACCAGTCATAATCGGTTGAGTGCAGTAGGCCGCTGCACCTGCCCGTCTTGACTCCAGGGCCAAAGTTGCGTGTTGGTGAGGTAAGCCACACCTCAGCCACCAGGACCCCCTTCTCCGGTCTAACGGGTTGCACCCCATGGTCAACAGGGTGCCTCGCGCTGCGGGGATTCGGGGTCCATTTTTTGCTTGACCAGACCTTCAGTCGACAGATCGGAAAGAAAGACAGATGGACAGAAGACATAGCAAGTACGGACCAAAGATGCCACCCCCATGTCAAAGAGCTAGTAACGAACGAGTGGCATCCCATCAGCGGGGGTTACACATCCTGTTGATGGGACAGCCAACTATTTTTGTTCTCTTCCCCGGTCAGCTCGGGGAAGGATGAAAGGAAGAAAGACGATAGAAGGCAGACGATACACCTAAGCAAATGTCACCCCTGCGCCCCTGAGCTTAGGTGTTCAAGGGTAACATTTCACCTTTGAAGGGATTGCACCTCATGCTGGCGGAGCAGTGGGTGTATTTATATCCCCCCGACCTTCGGGGGTTGAGGACGAAACCTCCTTTGACAACATTTTTTTTCGAATATTCACTGCTTGAGTCTGAATTTGAGCAAAGAGAAGCACATCTACACAATAATGGTCATGTTTAGTGCTAGTCCAACCGTTTCAGTAATTTTTGTAGATGTAAGGTCAAGATTGATAACCAAAGCAAAACGAAAATAATCAATACAGGTGATAAACATTGACTAAATACGTCGACTCTTGGGTTACCGAAGACATTTTGAGATTGTGAAACATATCTGGATCAGAGGGTGAAACCTGAAGTTTGTAAAAACGCATCAACAAAAGTCAGAAGATTTTAGCCTCCCATTATGTCCCTTTATCTCCCTCTATCTATCTCTATATCTCTCGATCTCTCGATCTAACTATCTATCTCTCTATCTCTATCTCTATGTTAAGCGATAACAGTTCTTTTCAAATTTCTCCACATTTACTCATTTTTAAAGAAGACTGGCCTGTCTCGACTGCCACATAAATGGTTTTCTCTCTCTTCAAAACGAGCACAGACATTTCCCGACTTCGTTTACCTTTACGGACAAACACATTATTCGAAGTTCTAAGATTCCTCAGTTGTCCCATGTTTTGATGGCGTAGAAGTTAACCTCCATACCTCAGGTTGACAGACTTTTTTTTAACTTATTAAAACAACAGTATCAAGAGTCAATCACCCTTAGCCACCGACATGTGGAGGGTATGAATCTCATCTGGATACCCTTGATCAATTCAAAGATGAAAAGCGTGACAAAATCATGGTTCTGATGCAATTTTTGGTCTCTGTGAGGTAACTTTCTTTTCAGGCAATTGCTTTCTCTTCTGAACAGTACAGATCGCTTTCCTTTTGTACAAAGCTGTATCATCTCTACCATAGATGAACAGACCACTTCGTTAAAAAAAAACACACTTATCATCCAATCACAGATGCCGTGCATGTATATTGAAAACATCACTTGAAGCAAGTCTTTCTGTGAATGGACTTAAAATCCCTAGATAATATTTTAACTGTCCTGTGCTAATCCAATCGTTTCACTAATTTTTATGGCTGCAGAGTCAAGGTCGATACACAAAGCTGAATGAATCAAAGTTATTACCTTTACAAAACAGTAATAACTATAACATGCATTCAGTTTTGGGTCACCGACAACACACTGTGATTATGAAACTCATCTGGATCCTCCAGATTGGTCCGAGGTTGAAAACTTTAGTCTGTGAAAGCGCATTAGCCAAAGTCAGATTTAGCATTTCTCTCTTTCTCTCCCTCTCCCCCCCCCTCTCTCTATCTCTCTCCCTATCTCTCTCCCTATCTCTCTCCCTATCTCTCTCCCTATCTCTCTCCCTATCTCTCTCCCTATCTCTCTCCCTATCTCTCTCCCTATCTCTCTCCCTATCTCTCTCCCTATCTCTCTCTCTCGCTCTCTCCCCTCTCTCCCTCTCTATCTCTCTATCTCTCTCTATCTCTCGCTCTATCTCTCGCTCTCCCCCCCTCCCCCCTCTCTCTCTCTCTCGCTCCCCCCCTCTCGCTCTCGCAAAATTAATACACAACCTTGTGACAGTAGCTCCAATGATAAGCGAATATAAAAGAAGACTGGCCTGTCTCGACTGCCACATAAATGGTTTTCTCTCTCTTCAAAACGAGCACAGACATTTCCCGACTTCGTTTACGGACAAACACATTATTCAAAGTTCTAAGATTCCTCAGTTGTCCCATGTTTTGATGGCGTTGAAGTTAACGTCGACACCTCAGGTTGAAAGACTTTTGTAACTTATTAAAACAACAGTATCAAGAGTCAATCACCCTTAGCCACCGACATGTGGAGGGTATGAATCTCACTTGGATACCCTTGACAAATTCTAAGATGAACAACGTGACAAAATCATGGTTCTGATGCAATTTTTGGTCTCTGTGAGGTAACTTTCATTTCAGGCGATTGCTTTCTCTTCTGAACGGTACAGATCGTTTTCCCTTTGTACATAACTGCATTATCTCTATCATAGATGAACAGACCACACGGAAAAATAATATTAAAAAACAAACAAACATAACAAATATCCCTCTTCTATACATACGCTGTAAATGCCATTATAATTGTTATGCGTGCTTAACACCGATGCTGATCAAATTCAGACCATTAAGGAGGGTCTGTTTTGACTTTGACCCAAAGTGACCTGTAGTCGAACAGTAGAGTCTGAAATGAAGTCCTGGAACTATTCGTGGGGAACGTTGACCAAGGTGGCCCAAAACAGACAGAGCTGGAGATCCTTTGTTGCTGCCCTCAACGCCAGATGGCGTAACGGGTTGTAAGTTGACCCTGTCTGTCAGGGAAATCTGGGTGGAGCGGGATACAGCAACAAAGTAACTTTCATTTCAGATGATTGCTTTCTCTTCTGAACAGTGCAGATCGTTTTCATTTTGTTCATAGCTGTAGATGAATAGACGATTTGGAAAGATAATTTTAAAAAAGATTGATTGATTGGGTTGATGTTTTACGGCACTATCGATACAATTTTGGTCATCTAAGGGCCTACAGGTTTCACCGCTACAAAATCAGACGTGTTTTTAGTAAGAGTCTTTCGGAGCTCGCAACCGCACACGATCACACTATTTTCATTATGCTAAAAAGACGAACAAACATTTATAAATTTTTTTGTAAATATGGAAAAGACTTATTTACATTTGTATATACAATATTAATTTCAGTGTATGTATATATACACCGATAACGATAACTATTATATTTTCATATTCTATTAAATAGTCCAATTTCTTTTACATAACTTAAAAATTTTCTAGGGTCTACGATGTCCAAAAGGGTCTTAATATCTTTACATTTAAAATATTTCGTACGAACATCAGTAAATTCGACACATTCCGTTAGGATGTGCCGAACTGTGAAATTTGTGTTGCACGCCAAGCAAAAAGGAGCTTCCTCTCCTTCGAGCAAATGTTTGAGCGTGACGTCCGTGTGTCCTATCTTTAGTCTTGTAAAAATTACTTTTTCTCTTCGCAGGAGAGATAGTGGTTTCCTGAGCGTAAGTTTCGGTTGAATGTAATGGAGTTTGTTGTGTATTTGTTTATTCCTAATTTTGGACCAGGAGGATGTGATGTGTTCTTTTACTTTCGGTTTCATGTCAGAGAAAGGGATTTTACTATTTTTGTTTTCAGGTAGTTTTAGAAATTCTTTGGCAAATTGGTCAACGGTTTCGTTGCCATCAAGTCTGTAGACTTTTTGTTGTGTTTTTCAAGACTAGTATCTATGTTTGGTTTGGTTAAATGCCATGGAGGTACGTTGGACATGGCAAAGGGCTCGATTATGTCTTCAGAAAAATCAATGTTTTTGAGATCGTTCTGGATTCTTATTCCGAAAGGGCTTATTATATTTCCAAAGGAGGATAGAGTTTTTAGATCTACGGGAAGGCCAAAGAACATTTGTGGGCTGGCTTTTGGGGTACTGAGCTAAGTTCCAAAGCGTATTGCAAAGAGAGTTTTTTCCTTCTAAGTTCTAAAGATGGTTCATGAGCTTCTGACTGTAAACTTTCTACATGTGAAGTACAGAAAGTACCTAGGGCAAGGCGAAGGCCTTGGTTCTCAACAGGGTCTAAAATTTTACGGTAAGAGTAAGACTTTCTAGCTGATCCGTAAACAGGACTGGCATAGTCCAGCATGGAACGGACAAGGGAACGGTAAAGTTGAAGTATTTCGATATTTCCTCCCCATTCGGGATTGGATAGTATTTTTAAGGCGTTGAGAGCACTCTGACACCTCGTCTTTAGGTCTTTCAAGTGCGGCAGGAAAGAAAGTTTATTGTCGAAGATTACGCCCGGGAAACGAGCTTGTTTTTTTACAGGAATTTTCTCTCCAAACAAATATAAATCTGGTGTGCGACAGACAAAAATGTACACAGTTTGTTTTTGTTGTAGAAAATTTGAACCCGTGCCCGTTTGCCCAAGTTTCCAGTTTATGGAGTTGAAGCTGAAGCTGACGTTCAATGTGATCTATTTTGGATTTGGATTTATAGCAGATCAGGAAGTCGTCAATGTAAAGTGAGCAGTCAATATTGTTTTGAAGGGTTTTTTGTGATGGAATTGATTTTAATTTCGGAAAGAATCGGCGATAAGATGCTTCCCTGGGGGACGCCTTCTTGGGTGTGTAAATTTGATAGGGTTGAACCCACTT